CAACTCAATGTGCTCTGCAAACTGGTTGTATCAGAATCTCAATCAATTCAGTGTTTTTAGTAGGGCTTCTGAAATCTGGTTTCTATAGATCCAACAAAGAAAGACCTATTGGTCGGAATCGAGATTAGCTTCACGATCAACATAAAAGATTATTATCTACATTCAAATAGATTTCAAGGAAAAGGTGAGGAAACACTCGGAGTAATTCTCTCATCATGAAGTTTACATCTTTTTAAGATATCTATAATAGAATATTTGATGAGACAAAATACTGTAATATTTTAAGTAATCATCGTCAATCAAGTGACATTCTATGGTCATTAAAAACGTATTACTATCTAGTGTACGACGATAAACAGTAGTCGTCATGTTCGTTAGCTTTATTAAAACGTCAACAACAATTATCTCCATCGACTATTATGTCACAAACCCATTATTTGTCATTATCACGTAAATCTGAACAAATTAACCAAGATGTGTTTAAAACATTTTAAGTTTAAAATATAGCATTGATAACTTAGCATCATCAAAGTCAGCAAATGAAGGAAAAGGCTTCTGTTACAATAAAGCTAAACAAATACTCAATAAAATGTCATATCAAATCGATATCTGTACGTTTATTATGTTATCTATTTAATAAAGTGTTTAGTTGTCTTTTTGAAAATACTTACATTAACATAGAGAACCTCGAACGGTGTGAGGCAATTATATGTTTTATTAGCATTTACGTCGGTGATCTATCACTGATCAATGATGATTATCCGTTAGAGTTTTTTTCTGGAAGGTACACAATCTCGAACGTTAAAAACTTTCTAACCTGTAAGACAAGACATATTTAAATCATTTATGGAATGTTATTTTCAACGATATATCGATAATTGGTATTGGATACTAGTGACAATTAATTAAGAAAAAGTTTTAGAAGATAATTTACATTCGAATGAATGACTCGGCGTACCAAAACCAAAAGAATCTGGTATTCAAAGCCGCACAAATATTGCAGAAAAATTTTGTCACGATGATCGTTCATTTCAATTAACCGATACAAGTGAAACATGATTAAGAATAGTTTAAAAAACAACAGCAATTCATGTACGATGAAAATGGAGCAGCAGAAACATCACAAAATGTTCAAAGCAAGTTAGTATGAACAGTATTAGGTCTTTCGATTTCAAAATATTCACACGAAGTCTATTTCTTTTTCTTTTCTAGACAAATTGCCCACACAATAAATCCAGCGGTCGATTCAACCGCGTTTTTTAGCTTCAGATACACTAGATCCATTTGAACAAAAATTTATCGACACATCATACCGTACTATTTATGAACAATAAAAATCTGTGACAATTTATCCTATTGCATTTTTATTCTATTCTCTACCGATGATAACAACGATCACGAATAAAGCAGCTCTCATCAATTATGAACAGTTTTTAAATCAAAAAAATCATTTAATTGACCATATCTCAAAACCATTTTTCGAAACATCATAAAATTTATTCGTCAATTGGTGAGAAACAAAAATTTCAACAACATTTGGTCACTTTATATCTCGATATGTTTGAGAAGACATAAAAATACTAGTGATATATCGTTAAAATTAACAAATGATTAATGGATGAATGCTACATTATTAATGAAATTACTTATGTATTGAAGCACATTTCTACACTTTTTAGCTAAACCTTTATAGATTTTATTACCTTTTTTACAAACAATTTTCATCTGGATGAAGTAAATACTTCTAGTCATCATGTAAGTAACAAAGTTCTGGTAAAAATAAATCTTATCTTATCTTATCTAGAGAGACGATGAAAAAATCAAAGTAGTTAGAATTTCAGTCTTTTCTATGCTTCTTAGGTAATCATATTCTTATGCTGTAATTGAGGATGATGCTATTTTAAAGTTGGATTTTGAACCGACGAGTTGATATGTTTTTATCTTTCACTGTAGTCATTAAATAATTTTGATGTCTATTGAATTTCTCACTTCAATCTCTCTATTTTTAGAATTTCAATAATCCACCCTCGTTTCTATTAAGCATCTGAAGTATTATTAACATATTAATCTATTTTCCTATAATTTTATTTATGATTGTTTACCAACGTTGTCAATGCATGTTATTGTTGAATGTATTTAAATTATTGGTTGAAATTGAATTATTTGATTAAAACAACAGATTCATCATCGTTAAATTATTGTACTCATGTACAACCAACAGATCTTCTATAGGACAAGTCTATTTGTTCGATATTCAAAACTTTAGTTATCAATCTACAATAATGTTGTTGTTAATTTAAATTAAAATAGAAAAAAAAGACAGAATTTAAATTCAATAATTTAAATCAAAAAAGAAAAAAGATAGAAACAACATTAATCAGATTTTTTAAATGTATTAAATATTCATGATGTTGTAAACAGATTTTATTAATCATCAAATGTAATTCAAAGTGCATTGAGAAATATTTTGAATACTGATAAAAAATAGAAAAATTTGAATAAAGATCGAAAAATATTGTTAAAACTTTTTGAAATAAATTTTCAATTGAACAGAATTCTTGTGAAACTCTGAAGCGCTCTCTGTTTTTCTTATATTCTCCCATTACCGTTTTTGCCTCTATTATTTATTTGTTTCTGAAAAAAAGCCAGTGATGTATCAAAGGTCTGTTACTCTTATATTTCCTTTTAGTCAACTATTTTAACTGTGTTTGTGCGTCTTCTCTATATTGAGAAAATAGGCCAATTTTTGTGTTTTTTTTTCAAACAAAATAAATAAAATCGGTTCCATGTAGACAAACCGAATTATAATTTCTTTGTTTTTGAGTTTAATAACGTCATTTAGTAAATATTATTTTATTGTGCTTAATCTGTTGTATCAGAAATATGTTCTTCATCTGGCCATTAATAGATTTGAATGTCGAGTCCAAATACAGTCAAGTTTCATATTTTTAGATTACGGAAAAGTAACAGTTGTTGTTTATTTTTGTTCTTCGACTAATTTTTGTATATACTAACAACATTTTTTTCAGAGTTTTTTAAGTAGTTTGTTCCGTTCTTTACCATCTTTGCTTTTGTCAAAACAATAAAATGATATAATGAACTTTTTATAGAGAATATTATCAACTCGACGTTCTTAGTTTTATTGATTTCCGATTTTAAACATTTGAGAGTAATATTAATAAGCCATATTTTGTACACATCATACGTCAAGACCATCGTATAATTTTTTTTTCTTTCTAAAAGTCAAGATGTAAGAAGAAACTGTACTTTTTTACTTTCTCTTTTGCATGAGTCATCATCCTTATTCGATAGAGTTTCATGAATATACAAAAAAAAAATGATGACGTGTTTTCTGTTGATTTCCTTCGTTCTATGCCACGTTTACAATAGCTTGATGAATATTGATAAGTGCATATTAACAGCTATAAATTTCACTTTTAAAACTCCGCACAATTTTAATAAAGAAGTAAATATGAGTCTATCACAAACACTGCATACGTCTTGATTAATAACTAAAATATAAATTGTACAGGATAAACGACAATTAACAATGATGAATGAGTCATACGGTAAATGAGTAAAAAGAAAAAACTTTAGGAAAATTTAGTGAGAAATTGGAGAAACCAATGCTCTGAAGAGGAGCCTTCATTAACAACTTTTGCAGATGATTAGTAATGAAAAAAGTACATCATAATGTACTTAGCGTTGTCCAAAGATTTATTGATGAATTGACTTAATAGAAGATAATGATGTTCTAGTACATACAAAATATCATCAAGAATTAATTGGACAAAAATCAAGCAAGAAACAATATGTCACCAATGGGAATAAAACATTTCATGTATATTTAGATAAAAAAAAGCATATTTACTTGGAGAAATGAGCCTTGAAGAATATATGTCAGTTGATTATCGTTTTCTACTACTACTACTACTACTACTACTAATTGTCTTTCTTTCTGTACAATTCATATTTTATTTATTAATCAAAGGTGTGTATGCAGTTTGAGATATAGATATATTCACTTTTTTTTATTAAATGTGTGTGGAGTTTGAACATAAGTCTAAATTTCTTGTAAGAATTAAACAATACAATGTTTAATTGGATACGTGATACCCTTCAATCATCAACACCGGTAGACGACAATCATTCGAGAAAATTAGGTACAATTGAGCCTGAACGAACACAAATGAATATATCCTCCATCGACCAACAACCATTGTTACCTTTAACATCATCATTTCATCAGCGACGACAGCCATTACCACAACATACAGCTTCATTAAAAAGTAGTGACAAAATTTCTCAAGGTATTAAGCATGTGTGGTTGATTTAGCATGTGTAATTATTTTTTTGATAATCATGAGGGGCTGATGTAGGGATACAGCCTTAGTAATCCACTAAGTAGTTGCATTTCTTTAATTAGTTTTGCCGACTAGGTAAAACTAAAAGTGGGAGACTTTCTGAGCCTAACAGTACAGATGCACGCTTTTATGATCTAACTGAACTATTTATGTTTACGCATCGAAAAGTTTTTTAATTGTAAAGGCATCCATCAACTACAAAATGGTTCTCAAATTGATAAGAGTTTCAAAACCTTTTCGCAAACATCTTGGATTTAGTAGTCATTTTGAAAAACCATTTTTCGTTTTGAAAGAAAACCCAAAACAGAATGTTTCATGTCTACTTAAGCCGTTTCAATGGTTCTGAAGAACGAAAGCAGATCCAAAACCTTTTTGGATTTAGAAGACATAAGATACTCTTTTGGGCTGTTCTCGAAACGGTTTAGGTTTTCGAAATTACTTCTAAACCTAAAGGGTTGTATAAACCAGTTGTGTTATTTTTATTGAATGCATCTCTACTGTCTAACTTGCTGAGTTCTCGGACAAATGTTTGGGAAGGTCTTATGCGTTCCATGCACTGGTAAGATTGAAAGTCCGCTGCATTATATCAGTACAGAAATTTACGTATGATCTAAGCTTGCTGCTGATCTAGCTATACATGAATTGTCAATTCGGCTGAGTGAAATGAAAAAAGACTTATTGCTCTCTATCAGACAACATTCTTTCTTTCTTTCTTTCTTTCTTATACTTTTCTCTTTCGAGTTAGTAACTCACTTTCAGCTATACGTCATCGTAGAGATTTGATGAAAAGATGGTTTGAACGTAGAACACTTGTACATGCACAGTTTGAATTGAGTCTTTTTGATGCATGCTCGATATGGCCACATAAATCAGCTATCTAACTGAAATTTTGTTATCTTTCTTCTACTTTGTAGTCCATATATTTCGTATGGAGATATCCGTCGAGTTCTGTAGCGGAGTATATTTTCTAAAATTTAAATAAACGCATATTTTTTACATTCAAAACAACTATAGACTGTCCTTTCGACTCTCCTTTTCTGATTCAAAAAACAACAACACTTTCTATTTGACAAAAATGATAACAAGTCGTCAAATAGATAAATCACGCTGCGAAATATGTTGTGTTCTTATAGTGACGTTTTGAAAGGACCAGTAGTGATGTTCTGTTGAATAAAGTTAAGCTTTTTGTTCATCATCACTAAAGAAACTATTCAGCGCTCACTAACGAAGCACTCAAAAACTTTTTTCTTGCTCTGCTATTGGATGAAACTTGCTTAATTTGCTTATTCTTTTCATGATCTCGTATGCAAATCTGAAGGTCACTCAAACTTTACAATGAATACTTTTAATAGTTGGCCTCTAGTTCTTCTACGAGATGATGAATAGCCACCTCAACAATAAAACTGAAATTCTATCTAAGATTCTTTTCTTCGAAATACGTAGAAGTCGATTATCAGCCTTATGTTTTCAAATCCCACCAACGTCTTATATTTTCTTTTAGTCAGATTATGATCATCTGCTAGCAACTTAACTTTTGAGTTTAGTGTTCTGTCTTCTTAGAAAAACAACTTTTAATCACTTTGAATATTGTTCATCTAATATGTAGCTAACTGTCAAATCTTGCTTAGCATTTTATATTGTTTCTCTTTTGAGAAGCACAAAATGAGCATTTCTGCTTGCCTTACCATCATACTTCAGGAGGTCGTATTACGAAAAGATTTAAGTTAGACGTAAGTCTTTGAACTTAAGTTTTACCGTATTACAAAAAAACTTAAGTCATGGGAAATGTAGTTTTAAAGTTAAGAACGAAGACTTAAGTCATTGACATATTTTTCGAACAGCTCAGACATTTAACGATACGATTCGACGAAACTGTTTAAAGGTTTAGAGAATAAATATTTCGTTATTTTGCGGATTTCTATCACTGTTGTCAACGATTTTTAAAAAGTCAACAAATCACCAACTTAAGCCTTTTCTTAATACGGTTTAAGTCGCCAGACTTAAGTCGGTTTTAAACTTAGACTTAAACCACGGCTTAAGTCGAAGAGTTAAGTTTTTTTGTAATACGATCCCAGCACATTAGTTCAAGAAAAACCTACTAAATACATAACAATTCCTTAATTTAACACTAGTAATCGGCTGGCCAATTGATAATAAACCGTAGATAATAAAGTATTTTCAATGAATTTTAAAATCCATAATCAGATGTGGCTCGTGCGTATTTGGAAGCAGGCGATACTGCCGGATAGCTTGTGTTGATGAGAGTAGAAGTTATATATATATACAAGTATATATTCTTTGGAAAGATAAAAATTTCTCACTATCATAGTCCATAGCATATAGTATAGAGAAGGAGAAATCAGTTGTCCATCAGTACCATCGTCACATATTGCCTATGCTCTATATAAAATGCGAATATCGGATGATTATCTTCTCAAAGTTTTGTAAATTTTCTAACTTTCTACAATTCCAGCTTTTATTCAGTAGGCTTTCACGCAGCTTTATTTCTATGTATGTTATTTTTTTCTGTTTCTCTTTCGGAGACAAGATATATTTTTATTTTTTGTTCAACTATTGTTTTTTTATTCTTTTTCTTTTTTATATTTCTTCTTCATTATAAATATCGTCTTTATGTTCTCGTTTCCATATAATATAAAAGAAAATGGTTTCATCGCAATATTATGTGCTCCCGGCCCTAAAAAGACCACAGAGAAAATATGAATATATCACATCATTTAGTCTCATCTTCTCTTTTTCAATGGAATTCTTTCACTATTTTTTATTTATTCTGAATGAATTAGTAAACGCGTAGATAGAAACGATAACTACATAGAAATGTCCTCGGGCTAAAAAAAAATGATCTTTGACACAGTAACTCGTTAGAAATTGATTGATTATATTTGATTTTAGTTTTGTCACTGTTTTTGCTCAAATTTTACTATATTTTTAAGACAACTAGATATATTGTTCTTTTTTCGATCTGTTTTATAATTTGTAGTTAAAATGGAAAGTAGAACTTTTCTTTTAGTCACATTTTCATGTTCATTTTAACAACATAAATATTTTGGGCCAAAGGTATTACTGTGAGAATAGAGAATTATATAAGGTATTTCAATTAAACATTGATAGAAAGGTAAAATGAATGGGAAGTTCTATAATGGAAAAATAAAAGAAACATTTTTTCTTTCCATGTCTTCTATAGTTCTTTTTATATAATTTTAGGATGCAATAACTCTTTAATATAATCAGAATAAAACATAAGGTGTGTGTCTGTTCTCTTTTAAATCAATTTTTTATTTGTTAGGTAGATGCTTGACAATTTATTCTAATATTATTTATAGAATTACATTATAGTAGGTCGATAAAAAGAGAAAAATTCTATTTTATTATTCATCCTATTGTTATATTATCTACCATTTTTCAGTTATATTATATGTCAGTGTAATTAGATTAGTTTACTACACTAGATTGCAAGTCAAAGATTTAAAAAACGATCGATCCATTATTTAAACAATGTGCTGAAAGGTTTTGACTTAATGTTGATCAGAACATTTTTAGTAATGTTTTGAAAAACTAATATCTCTCAAGAGGAAAATATTAGCACCAAGTTTGATTACTTGAAAATACTATTTTCTCCTCAATATCTGACTATCGGACAGAAGTTCGAGCTCGTTTTTCGATGATTTTTATCCATAAAAGCTTTGTACTATCTTCTTATACTTTTTATCGTCAATCGTCTCTTACAAGTCGTTACAGTAATCTTGATAAAAATTACTTCATATATTTGTACTTGTGCTCAACTATTTAGAACATTTTTGACTGTTTAACGAACGGTACGTTTTCATCATATTCTTCCGGATAATTATTTTCGACTTTAATTGATCTTTATTATTTCCATTTGATCCATAGTATCAGGTTTCAGGTAATCGATTATATTTTCTATGTTTATACATTTTTTTAAAAATTATTGATAATATTTGTTGGTATAAGCTTTATTCTGTCAGAATACAAGTGGAAAAATATTTCATTATGGTATTCTAAACTAAACCTATCGAAAAACATAAAAAGCAATTTCGTATAAATAGAGATTCGAACAGATGAACTTAGATTTGCAGTAAACTGCAAAACTAAATCAATAATATTTATTTATTAATGAATAAAACTAAAAGATTGAACTGTTGTTCTCTACTATTAGTCGCGTGAAAGTTTTTAATTTGCATAAGGCTATTATCTACAAATAAGTTATTGATCTCATACCCGTTTTATTGTTTTATTTTGATATTTTATGTATACATATTGATATTAAGAATGAATATTGTTGACTCGTATATAAAGAAAATATCAAAATAAAATATCTTTGTATAATAGGGTTTCCTCAACGTCAGTTGTACACCAAGTTTGATAATGTTTCTTCTATAGATAGTCCTTTTAGAGTCGGTCAGAGTTTTCTGTATGTCTTTCAAGAAAATGGATTTTATGTAGTCTGAAACAATTTCTGATCCCCTAACATACAGTGTAAAAGTCATGTCTCCGTCGAGTAAGCAGCTACATTTTTCTGTTGAAAAGAACATAAAATAGTAGAAGAACATATATTTAATAATGGTTGTTTTTTCATCTGTTATGCTAATAAAATTCTAGTTGTTGGCTTCTCTCACAGTTTATATTGTAGTATAGCTCAAATATCTAGGAAAATCACGACTAGTCGAGAGTCCAGGGGATGATAGCCACCGAATAGTTCAAATTTTTTTGTTTTTTCCAGGCAGAAGAGACAGTAACAAGCTGTCATACTATTCCTGTGAATGTTTTGAGATCTATTAACTTCGATAATAGATCTCGTCGATAATAGATCGTAGTCGAAAAACATTTGGTAGATTATCTAACGGAGACATATTTGTTACTTTTTTATCTTTCACTTTATTTACCTATGTAAAGTAGAGATACTTCTAAAAGTAAAAGAACTGACTATCTCATTCTTCAATGTTCATTTGAATAGAGTTTTTGACAAACTTTTTGTTTACTTTTTTATATAGTCTTAATCTAAGTTTTTTAAAATAATATTTGTTTATACTGTTTTCAATAAAAAAGAGTACTAGTTCTATATTATTAGATACTCTTTATTATTATCAACTTGTACTCTTATTACTCTTCGACTGATTATTAAAATTTATGAGTGTGCTAGCGTGTAATAGAAGAAAAAAATATGGATAGTAATTTAATCATTTTAACTGACGTTTTCACGCTATCATTACGTTGCTAATTATATTTGCTGTATTCGATAAAAACAAATAAATATATAGTTAGTAGTCTGACCTGTTAACATATTTTAAGACAGAGTCTTTTTTTTATTTTTATAATATGATACACTATGATGAATTTTTAATTAGAAATATTTTTTGTTCTGCATACAAAAAACTTTGTATTGAGTTTGTTGCAGACGGTGTATCGAGACTATGATGAGAATAGAAAAATTCTATTTACTGAAAAAGAAAAAAGGAACGGAAAATCTTTTTTCTTGATGAAACTATATATCTATGTATTGAATAAACAGAAGTGCAAAACACACCTATATTTCTCTCAGAAATGTATCTTATTTTAAATCAATTATTGCATGTAATACTAAGAAGAAGAAAAAAAAAGAAAGTTTTCCGATGTTTTTTTAAAGATATTTTTTTAATTTTTTTTTTGTGTAACTATTTTAAACATTATTATTTCAGATTTCAGTGGTTACATGATGTCTCAGTCACTGCAATTATCGGCTACAAAATGTCCAACAGATGAATTATCATTATTAAATTGTGCAATTGTTAATGAAAGAGATATTGATTTAAAAAAAGTGAGGTATGGAAACGAAACATTTTTATAAAATCGATAAAATATTTTTATCTTCTATTTTATTTTTTTTTGTAGACATGTTGAACTTATAGTTGGTGTTACATCAAAATTTATCTTTACACTTAAATGTGATCCTCAAGGAAAAATAGCACCAGGAAAAATTGGATTCAATAATTTACAAGTAATCATAATAATTTATTAATAGATAAAAAGAAAACTTGTAAAATTTATTTTTTGATTTTGTTTTTGTTTTTTTTATAGAGAAAATGGGCAAGCATAGAACTAGAAAGATCATATCAAATTCGACCGTATACATTTGATAAGAGTGTACAATCAATATCCACATTAATACTTGAAGTTGATTTTATGAATAAAAAAAAGTGAATAATAATAATAAATATTCATTTTTATAATATCAAAGAATATTTGCTCTTTTCTAGTGTTACAGCAGATCCATATGATACGGATAAAATGGCAGTCGAGTTTCTTCAACAATTTGTGGATTGTGCATTCACCATTGGACAACCTGTAAGATAAAAAAAATATATTTCTTATTTTATTCTAATTATTATTCTATTTTTGTTTTTGTCTAGATAGCATTCCAGTTTATGGACAAAAAACTTTTATCGGTGGTTGTAAAGGAAATCCATGGTACGTTTATTGTTTATGTAAGATTTACTGAATTTAATCTATTTCTTTGATTATTTAATGTTTTAGGTGCTGATTTCTCGGCTGCCGCTCGTGGTCAAAGTCCAAAAGCAAAAACAATGACTTTCGGTGTAACGTTACCTAATACAATGGTTATATTTGAGCGTGCAGAAGCAACATCACTAAACTTGATAGGAAAATCCAAAGGGTAAGAATAAACTGTGTGTATATGTATATAAAATGAAACTTTTCTTTTTCTTTTGATAGAAAAACACAATTTGTTTCAATTATAAATCCAGATTTTGATTTTAAAACAATTGGTATCGGCGGACTTGATAATGAATTTAATGCCATATTTCGTCGCGCATTTGCATCACGAGTATTTCCACCAGAAGTTGTTTATCAACTTGGTAATAAATAGAACAAAACTAAATAGATGTACTGACATTGTTCTCTGTATTAGGTATGAAACATTGTCGTGGCATTCTACTGTATGGTCCACCAGGCACAGGAAAAACTCTTATGGCTCGGTAAAAGATAGAATATGATAATTTTAATGTTTTTCTTTATATATTTTTTCTTTTCAATAGACAAATTGGTAAAATGTTAAATGCACGTGAACCAAAAATTGTTAATGGACCACAAATTTTGGATAAATATGTTGGTGAATCAGAAGCAAATATTCGAAAATTATTTGCAGAAGCAGAAGATGAAGAAAAACGCGTAGGTGGACTATAAATTATCTAGATATTATCCTAAAATATAACATAAATTTGTTTATTTTAGCTTGGAGCAAACAGTGGTTTACATATAATTATATTCGATGAAATTGATGCTATTTGTAAAACTCGCGGTTCAGTGGTATGACAAGTGTTGTGTGTGTGCATATTAAAAATAAATAAAAAGACGTTGTTTTTTTTTTTGAAAATTTAAGGCTAGTGGTGCAGGTGTACATGACACAGTTGTAAATCAATTATTATCAAAGATTGATGGTGTCGATCAATTAAACAACATTCTTATTATTGGTATATTAAGCTATATGGAAATTTTTTAAATTGTTGTTGTTTTTTTATGTTTATTTAGGTATGACTAATCGTCGAGATATGATTGATGATGCATTATTACGTCCTGGTCGACTTGAAGTTCAAATAGAAATTGGTAGGATATTCTTTGTTAAAAAACAGTAGATAATTTATTTAAGAAATTTCATTCGTCAATCTGCGATAACAATAACAATGAGTCTCTATAACTTTTTTGTTTTTCTGTTATAGGTTTACCGGATAAAAATGGTCGTTTACAAATATTAAATATACACACTGCTCTTATGCGTCAAAATCAAAAATTAGCCGATGATGTTGATTTAAAAGAATTTAGTGAATTAACAAGAAATTATAGTGGAGCAGAAATTGAAGGTCTTGTTCGTGCTGCTATGTCATTTGCAATGAATAGACATATCAAAGTAAATTATGATACAATTTGATAGTTAACAAGTTCTAGATTTTCATCGTTTTATTTGTTTAGGCTGGTAAACGTGTTGAAGTTGATCCAGAAGCTGCTGATAAATTAAAAATTTGTCGAGCCGATTTTATGCATGCATTCGAAAATGATATTAAACCGGTAAAATAAAGAATTAAATATTCAAGAGAAATCATAAAAATGATTTATCTTTTGTTTAAATAGGCATTTGGTGTTAGTAAAGATGAATTCGATTCATATATTGCAAATGGTATAATAATATGGGGTTCACCCGTTACAGAAGTATTGGACGAAGGAAATTTACGTATTAGTCAAACGATTAAAAGTGAAATGACACCATTAGTATCGATATTAATTGAGGGTACTTACCATGAATAATTTATCTATAATGTATACTATTTGATATATGTTCTTATATTCTATAGGTCCACCAAATAGTGGTAAAACAGCATTGGCCGCCCATATAGCATTATTATCAAAATTTCCTTATTTAAAATTTTGTACAGCTCAAACAATGTTGGGTGAGTTTAAATTCTTATTGCAAAACAAAAAAAAAACAACAAAAAACAGATTAAATTCTTATCATAAATAAATTATTGTTGCATTCTTTTTATTTTTTTTGTCTATTTTTAGGTTATACTGAAATGTCAAAATGTCAACAATTAAAAAAAATATTTGAAGATGCTCATAAATCGACACTCTCATGTGTTGTCGTTGATGAATTGGAAAGTTTTCTCGAATATGCACCAGTTGGACCACGTTATTCAAATACTGTATTACAAACATTAAAATTATTATTTAAACGTTCACCACCGAAAGGACGTAAATTACTTATTATAGCAACAAGTGCCTATCGTGATATTCTAGAACAATTGGGTTTAGCACAATCATTTAGTAAAATCATACACATATCAAATATTAGTACGGGAGAACATGTACTTCATGTATTAAGTGAAATTGAGCATTCATTTAGTGTTGAAGAAATGAAACATCTAAAAAAGAGTCTTGCAAATAAACAGTAAGTAATATTGAAAATACTTTCTTTACAATTTGTTTGAGAAATAAAGAAGTCTCTAAAATGATTTGTGGATATTGTTTACTTTTATTCTGTAGAGTATGGATTGGTATTAAAACATTATTGGACTTAATTGAAGTAGCAAGACAAGCCGATGATAAATATCGTGTAGCAAGATTTCTTGCTTCACTTGAAGAAGTGGGCGGTACGGTATAAAGTATATGTGAAGAGTTAGAACTATAAACATTTTCTAAAGTTTTGTTCTGTACGTGGATTTTTTTTTTATATCTCATTGTAATCATCATATTTTTATTTTACAATTCTAAAACAAGTGTTCTTTTTCATTTATTTTCACATATCTTTTTGATGTTATTTATTATTTAACTTTAAAAATTATGTTATCCCTTAATTAAACAAAGATAATTAATCTTATTTAAAATATTACTAATGCGACAAAGTACTTCAATATTTAAATATTCTTTACTTTTATTATAATTCCATTTTGATTTCCTTTAGTTATCTCGATTGGATAACAACAGTTCGAATATAATTTGAAATAAGCTTGGATCCTGTGATGATTAAATAAAAATTTCTTTTATTGTCCTTGATTTGATTCTCGTTAATAGGAAACTAAACGAGAATGTCTTGATGTGCACTGTGATAAATGGTCTTAATAGTTCTAACTTCAGTTCAGGATACACTAAAAATTTCATGAGTATTGTTAAATCAATACTCTTAGATATTTTCGAATGTTGTACTATTAAATTTTTTGTGCTAAACATCTTTTACATTTTTTTCACCTTGCTCACTTTTATTTTTATTTTTTTTCTTCTAATATCGACAAACATTCTATTTTATTCTTTCTTCATCTACAATCTTTTTTTTATTTGTATAAATTGTAATGTAGAAAGACATAGCTTACACAACAACGTTTTATCAGACTGTTGTGCATTATCTTTTTTTTCTTCCTATTCTTTTTTCATTGTAAAAATAAATCTAGTCAAAGTAATTAATTATATTTGTATCAAAGTTTTATTCTATATTTTTTGCTGATTCAAATATGCAAAAGAATTTTTTTCTTTTTTCAATGTTATTACATGTATATGGTATTATAACAGATTATATAACATGTGCAATGAAAAACAGTAATAATTCCATACCATTATGTACATTCCTAAAAACTATGATATAGAAACTAATCCGTATTTCTGTTGAGCCTTAAATATATATAGTCTGATCCATTTTCATTTCTAATAAATTACTCTTGATACATTGTATTTAATCTTTTCTTTGATTCGAAAGTTTACAGAAGTTTTAGTTATGTGTTTATTTTTATTATAAATGTGAATAGTTTTATCGCTTGTTTTCTTTTTCTTTTTAAAGACAAATTATCGATAGAGAAAATGTTTTTTATTGTGTATAGTTGATCGATATTTGTCATTTCATTTTTTTCATTCGTTCCTTTTTAACCAGAATAAAAAATTATAGACAAATAGTTTGTTTTTTACGTTCGGAAAGAAAAAGCAGAGACCATTGTTTAGTATAGTGTAAAGCTCTTTCCGATAATAGCGGATTACTGTCAAATTCTATGATATGAAAGTCAAATAGAGGATCATGATCTTCTGTTTGAATAATAATCAGCATTGTTAGAAGTTTTATCAAAAAAAATGAAAAGAATTAAGACAGCTTTTTGCTTTTGAACACTTTGTTATTTTGAACAAGAGCATCGAGATAATGTACATGAATGCGTATACAAATTCAGAAAAAAAAGTCGACTTATCGTACAAATTAGGGAAATAGATTACCTTCTATTTGGAAGTGGGGAGTTAGTTCGAGCGTTTTGGAAATTATAAAAATTTAATTTTTTACTGCATTTCCAAATGCGGATGTTTTTCTGAACAGTTGAAACATGCAACTAGAGAAGTATTTACCTATTTCCTAAAATCTTGACGCCACTTACAAAAGAAAACATCTGTTTAATTTGTACGTCGGATGATTAAACGTTGTTTGATTTCTTAAAAACAAAACTCATCCAATTTTCTTCATCACGTTAATTTATTTTTAATATTTCTAGACATCATTCATTTTTTCTGTTTTTTAAAAACAAATTAAATAAACATGCAGAAATATGGAATATCTTTAATAGTGTTCAGTGTTTTGTGGGGCATTATTGGTATTATTTTACCATTTGTTGTTCCTAAAGGTCCAAATCGTAGGTACGTTAAAACAAAGAATCGTTTCTTTCTATTTTCAGTAATAATTTATTTCATTTTGCTTTAGATTAACTCAAGTCATGTTGATCTTAACAGCTATTGCTTGTTGGCTATTGTAAGTAATACCAAAAATTCCAGCATTAAATAAATTTATGCAATTTTTGAAATTTGTGTGGAACTTTGAGATAGATTTAAGAATGTAAACTGCAATTTTCCATTGATGTCTTTTTAAAATTCAGAATAATTTTGCAAACAATTAATTCAAAGATTGATTATACTTGACTTTTTATTTTCAGTTGGTTTTGCGTCTATATTCATCAACTAAATCCATTGTTTGGGCCACAATTAACAGGTATGAATGCTCGAGTATTGCGTATTCTATGGGGTCCAAAGTTTTAACAATATGTGTTTTATTGGTTAAACTATCTTCATTTCTGTATTTACTTATATAGTTCCGTGTATTTATTTTATGTATTTCCTATTCGTTTTTTTGATCTACATTTTTATTTCTGATCATCTTTCTTTTTTGTTGTAATATATGATAATACATAACGCCTATTGAACGTTAAATTTTCAATAACTGAGAATTATTTTAATTATATTATTTTCGAATGTTTACCTTTTTTTCTTCCAGTAGTCCAGTAGACTTCTGCTCTTCTATCATTATAATACGGAAGTAAGTTTTTTCCTAAATGCGTTTTTTTGTTAACACATGCGCACATGATTTAAATAAGATTTTCTAATAATATGCTGATTAATTTCCTTCGTTTCATTCTTACATTTGTTGTCTTCTATTTTTTTCCTTTTTTTATGTTTAAATTGTAGTCCAATATTTTCCTTGTTATTTTTCCAAGTGTATGTTTGAGTATGGAGACAGAACATTTATTATCTATTTAAATGCAACCAGATAAAAAGAATCAAATTTCCGAACAGTCAATTGTGCAATATTTATCTATTTTTGAATGTATACTGATATGTTGTTATATAATAAAGCAAAAAAAAAAAAAGATTAATTCTATTTTACTTACAGCACTGACTTTGTCATTGTAACATTAGTGACATTAAATACTCATCTGTAGTTGGTTTCGTGTTTCGCCTTTTTGGATTTTCAACAGCATTCCACAAAATCTTTTATAAGAAAATAATCGAAAAATGGACATGTTAGGTGCTTCAAAATTAAGCAGTATCGTTCATTCAAAAGAGCATAGCTATCAGGATATTTATAATGCCGCTAATGAGAGTAAAAGTTAAAGGTGCAAAATGATTTATTTTCAACCACCGTCACCCTTGCATCCGCCATCTTACAAATTTGCCAACTTTAAACTCAGTAACGACAGATTAATTAACCTCAGAAATTTTATCATAAATAGTAGATGATGTCTAGCGCCTCAAGAGTAAAAATGTTCATTTTAATATATATTGTAGAGCTTTATAAGGACTATAAAATGGTACATAAAAGATTTTGTAGCCATTAAATTTATAAGAAATATATTGAAAATAGTAAAAGTCATCCTATCCATGATTGAGCACCCTTGATCCATTTATCAATTTTATCAAATTTCATATTTTTTTAGAATAGTAATCGCGAGAGAATTTTTCTAACAACATGGTTTTGTAGTCCTTGAATAGAGCTATCGAATCGTATATAATAAGATATTACTAAATGTTGTATAACGCAAGCACAAATGAAACAATGAAAAAGTTCACTTTCAGGAGGTGTCAATGTTAAGAAGGCTGACATTGTTTTCTTGAGCTGCAGATGAAGCCTAATAAAAAAAATTATGTGGATTCAAATTAGGAGAATCTCAGCTTTCATTACCATTATAGATTGTTGAAAATGTTTGAGGACGGATATTCCACAGAGAACGTCTCCTCTTCTTTGATTTTTTGTGAATGGAAATATTGTTAGTTTTTCACAAAACCAACTTGTTTTCCTATGGAAATTAATATAGTTCGTTTTAAAATATTTGCATAACAATGTAAGTATGAAAAATTCTCATTATTAGGTCTTTTTTCAAGGGGGAAACAGCAGAATTCCAAACAGAATTCGCAGACCTACAGAAGCCTGTAGAATCCTATGCAAACGTCGCAAAGTTCGAGAAACTGGAGGAATTCCTGAGAGTACAAGAAAAAATCGAAAAAAGGAATTAGAATCCGATGAAATCCCGAAAATCGGTAAAAACGACTGAAAATGGGACTAAGCGGAAAAAACGCAGGAAAATTCTTCGGGCTCAGCGAAGTCACGAAGAATACCAAGGAGTCTCCCGGAGAACAGCAAAATTTGAAAAAAATTGATTGCCTATATTATTTTGCCAACATCATGGTTTTCTTTTCCAGCTTATAACATGAAGAAGTTTAGTTTATAAAATAGAAAGAAATATTTGCCCTTTATATTGAAAACTCTAATGCATTTAAACTTCAACGAAAACCAAATATAATTCTCAATTTACATGAGGATGATTCAAATTTTTAATTGGTTTTCGTATCAGAATTTATGTAAAGGTTATAGCTGTAGATTTATTCTTTTTAATGATTGCGAAATAAGAAAAAAGTCGTGTTGTATTTATTGGCCCTCATTTGCATTGTTGTTTCGTTTAATTCAAAGTTGACTTTATTTGTGGATATAAAGAGTTTGTGCGTTCCTGGTCCTTTGTGAATTGAAATATTGTTAGTTTTTCACAAAAACTGATCCATAAGAACTCAATCTATATATTTCAAAATACTTGCATACGTTTGTTAATATAAAATCATTGGATGGCTGGTTTTCATTGTACAAATAAAGCTTTAGTGTTTTTTTGCAAATAGATTTCTTTTTTTGCAAATAAAAATCGAAGAATAAAGAAAATTGCTCATATGTTTGTATAGTGATATAATAAATCAAATTGAATACTCTGTCAAATTTCAGTTCATGTCATATTCAACAATATTACGACTGCGTTGCTTCCCATTTTCGTTTCTAAATTAGTTTGCTAAAAATTCCCATTAGAAACACTAAATCCAACC